CATCAGCACCAGTATAAATGGTCTTATTTATTATAAAACAGCGTTTTCACCGGAAGGAGCTGAAAATAAAGTGAACACCATTTTAATTCTACTTAATTTGTGTTTAATCACAAACTACAGTAATCTGCTCACCTGGCTTTTCCCGTCAGACACACCTGCACCTGTCTGTCGTCTGTCTGTGCTCTGACTTTATGACTTTATGATGAGCCGCGTGTGGAGGCGGCTTGTTGTTGGTCCCACGTGGTCTGAATGACGTCGTGACCAACAGCTGTGTTCACTGAGTCTTCACCTGCTCCCTGCTTTAAACATCCATCGAGCGTCTCTTTCTGGGTTTCTCTGCAGATTCAGGGAGCTCTGCGTGAATGACTTCCTCACACCTGAGACATGTTTAGCCTGTGGTGTCTGTGCACACCTGTGAAACACCACGCAGCCTGTGTGTAACGTTCAATGTCACCAGCAGGAAATTGGATATTTGACCCCGCCCCGGTCACCGGTCAGAGAGTGAGAGAAGGAAACGGCCTATTTCAGTCTCCAGCTGACTAATCTGCGCATTTCTATCTGTCAAAGGCGACTTACAATCAAACAAGTTACCAAACAAGCTCGGTAATGTTACAATAAAAACAGCATCATCTGTATTAAAGACAAAAGAATCAGTTCTTCCAATGTTTAAAGTGCATAAAACAGCCCTGCAGCCTGCTGAACATTACTGGAGCTCCACAACTACTGACGGACTTGAACTGGTTTTCTCCCACCGGACTGCTGGGAGGGGGAAAGCGTGGACCAAACCACCCTGGCAAAGAGAGGGGGGGACTCAAAATGTTCTAAACTTAAAACGAACTTTAATTGCTCAGTTTGCGTTGGTATTGTTGTACTATTTACACAGTTATTCTAAGTATATATCATTATATTATTGAATGGTTTTTAAGGGGGGGGGGCACCCCTCAGTCAACTTGATCATTTTGGAGGCTGCTGTTGAACTAGATTGTTTTATGCTGGGGGCGTGGTTCAGCAGGAGGTCGCAGTGCACACTTCTGCTCTAAGTACATGTTCATGAGTTTAGAAGGTGAGATATGTTAGTTTTGTAGAAACAATGTAGGCTGCTAGTTTTGCATTGAAAGACAGAGGCAAATTAAATCAAGCAGTTTAAAAAGACAAAGTTAAAAAGAAATAAGATTCCACAATAGTAATACAGGATAGAAAGAAAGATTTGGACCACGCCTTGAACTCATTCACCTGCCCTTGACACTGTATTCCCATCCTTCCCACCTGAACCTCTTTCCTTCTCTCTCTTTGTCTGCCTCCCTCAGTCCTCCCTCCAGATCTGTTCCTCTCATATCAGCTCAGCTGTATTACATGCAATAAACTGTTCTGAATCTACATCTTGCAGGCATGGTCTTTGTTAGTGAAAACTAATAAAAGGCTGTTTTGTAAGTGATTAAGAAGACGTCACCAATCCTGCTTGCAAGGCTCATAGGGGAGCAACAATTCAGCAATATAGTGGGAGCAGAAGCATGAAGCGTTTTAAAAGTGATCAATAACGTCTTAAAATCAATTCTAAAACTTACAGGTAACCAGTGAAACAGGTCTGATGTGATCTTGTCTTCTATTGTTTGTGGAAAGTAGAGCAACTGCATTTTGTTTCAGCTGAAGTTGTGAAATAGTTTTATAGCTTTTCCCTGAATAAAATGAATTACAATAACACACATTAGGGTTAGGGTCAGGAAACAAAGCCAGACACCAACACCAGAGACAGACCGTGACCAAAAAAAAGCCCTGACACATTCAGAACTACTATGTTTTTAATAGAATTTGCATCTTTGGCCTCACATCTATGTTCATGGAAATTGATGCTCTTAGAAGATTGTTGTTGGATGTAATTTAATACTTTAATGTCAAAATATTTTAGCACTGTGTAGTTGTACAGATTTTCCAGTATTACGTTATGATGGTCAATTAGAGAATTTACCAACAGTCATTTGAAAATCTAATCACAGCTGCAGCAGAAGAAGTCTCTCTTCTTAAACTGATGATATCAAAAGATAAGAAATCTCACTTTGAGTTAGGTTAGGTTAATAAACAACTTTTTAGGTTATGGTCTTGCCAATCTTGTCTAAAAAGAGACGAGACGACAACAACAAAGGAAATGTTGGATGCAATCTTCAGTATAGATCGATATAACTGAGAATAAAATGTTCTACTGTGCAAATGAGCATATGAGAAAGTTGTAACTTGGTAAACAAGTTAAAAAGTCTTTGTTCGTGTTGCAGTCTGGAGATTTTACCCAGCAACCCTGTGGTATGCAGCCCGCCAGCAGTCAGACAGCTGACGTCGGAGGGAGTCGTTAGCAGAAATGATGAAGATGACAACTCCAAAAGTGAGACAGACGAGTCCCAAAGAAAGACACGCCCACGCTGCTGCAGAACCCACCGACCTGGAAGGCAGCTCTGGTGGAGAGCAAACAGTGTGATTCAGAAGTTGTTTTTAGCAAATATTCATAACTCCCTCAACAAAGACACTCTGCTGGGACTTTTCCACAACAGGAATTTAGCGATCTGGAACCGGCAGCTGTGTTTTATAAACCAGGACGTGCATCTTTGACACGTGTTGCCTTATGGCGTTATATTTTGTCAACAGCCATTGCTTGTCCATCATTTGTTTTATAAGCCAAGTTTGCCGTTTTGTCTCTTTCAGATGATTCTGTTTAAGTAGCAGCTTGTTTAGAATATTTGTTACCTCCTGCATTTTGTTGTGTTATGTCCATTTTCAGATTACACGCAAAAAAACCATCTCTATGAATTGAGAATTTTACAGTCTTTGTGCTTAAATTAAGCTCAATGTACAGAATCTCACAAAGTGAGTCCACCCTTCACATTTCTGTAAATATCTGATTCTATCTTTTCATGTTTCAACACTGAAGAAATGATTCTTTGCTCCAGTGTAAAGTAGTGAGCAGCTTGTATAACAGCGTAAATCTGCTGTCCCCTCAAAATAACACATCACACAGCCGTTAATGTCTAAACCGCTGGCAGCTAAAGTGAGGACACCCTTGGAAAGTGTATCATGATTTAATAGGACAGAACTGAGGGTTGCCTCCTATAGGCTTACTTCCAACTTAAGAACTACGTTTAAGATCTAAGTTGTCCTGGTTATGTATAAATCCCACCCTTCACAATATTTCTGATATGCTACTGTATTTACTCAACAATACGCCAGCACGACAATGATCTTAAACACACATCACAAGTCGTTATGGGATGGCTAAACCAAGCTTTTTAAATGGATCCCCCAAAGTCTTGATCACAGACCTCGTTGAAATTTCTGTGGACTGGCCTGAAGAGGTGAGTGAATGCAAAAAACCCCCCAACAAATCAGACTCTACCAATTCTATCACGAAGAGTAATCAGAAGAGAGTTCTGCCATAAGCGTGTTGATGGATACCAAAGGCAGCTGAAAGAGCTGAAGGGAAATGTGACCAAATACTAGCTGTGTTGTGTGTTTTATTACTGTATTGTTGTATTTTCTGATGACACGCAATGAATTTGTTTCTGAATGTTTTCAGTAAAAAGAGAAGTGTGTTTTCCAATCATTCTGTAAAATAACCCCCGCAACAACACACATGTATAACCTTTGGACCTCAACATTGCAGTATATTTCCAGAAACCCTTGGATCTTCTCACCCCATGTTTTGGTGACAGGGCGGCTCAGGGCTTGATGCTGCACGCTGCAGCCCAGCACGTCGTCTGTCTCTGGATGGAAAGAGAGGCTGGCCAGCTGACTGAAGGTCCCGTCTGTCTCAGGGTGGAGGTTGCTGAGGGCCACACCTTCTGTCACCTGGACACCATTCTTGGTCCAAGTGATATTGGCGGAGGGGGGGGTAGAAGTGACTGATGTAACAGTAAAGGGTGTTCTCCTCCCCCTGTTCTGTCTCCTCCATGGGATAGATGAGCACTGTCGGGGCTTTGGAAAAGAGAAGGACATGGTTTATTAGAACATTAAGCCCTCACAGTGTATGTCCCCACTATTAAGACGTCACGGCACCATTTTGACAAATCATGGTCTGTATTTATATAAATGTCTCATCAAATCAGCACTGAGTGTCACTGAGCGACGCGTTTTTTTTATCTTGCTCTTATGTCACGTTCCAGGCAACTCGGAAATTTCCGACCTCCAACTAGAAATAAACACAGGAAAAAAGGAAAGAAAACATTCACACAAGAGTAAGTATTCTTGTGTGAATGAAAATAACTCGGAAAGGAAATAATAACCCCAAACCGTGACAATTTAGACAAAAAACAAATACTATTTGAGACAGACTTTGTGTGATATTTCTGCAGAAACTGACGTCCTCACATTTCACATTTTTGGGAGTCAAAAATGAGGCTTTTGCACATCATAATGTCCATGATAATTGTTCTCAGTGAGAGTGGACTAAAACTTACTTGAACTCAATCAATCATGTCCCTTTGGCTGGATGTCACCAGCATCATTAAAGGTATCTGAACTTATTATTACTTATTTTACATTGAGGTTGTAGCTGAAAGTAAAACTGGAACAGAAGAGAATATTATTGTTCTTCATGGAGTGGTGACCAGAGTTTTGGTGTGTGCCACTGCAACATACCGGGCTGAAGCACTGTCGCTGCGACTGTTTGTAGTCCTGGTTTGGCTCTCAGCAGGATTCTTGGGAGTGATTTTCAGACTGTTGGATAAATACAGTATTGCTGGAATGTTCAGTGTTTTGACTTAAAGTTGTACTGCAAGTTTACAGGATTGGAATAGATTTTTGGTGGTGACAACATGGGCCTGTATTTATCAGGGCTCTTACACTTCCTCCTAGGAACCATGCTGAGAATTAAACAGTCCTACCTCAGAGTATTTGTGTCTCTGAGAATAACTGGCTAGTTAGATGGTTGATGAAGTGGTTCCTATTACACTGAATTTACAGGCCTTAATTTTGGTAGGGTATAGCTTTTGGATGAGCTGCACAGTTTCCTTTGCTAATGATTCCTCTTGAACCACTATGGCTATCACGAAAATCCCTACTATCTAAATGTGTTGTCCAGGAGACCCCCCCACCCACTATGTGTGGAGTAAACAATGTGTCTTCTCTTTACCCTTTTCTTCAGTGGGACTCCTGTCGATCTGCATAGCTTTAGAGAGATAGTGTTTTAATAGTCTCTCCTTGCTAACAAGAGCCAAAACGTAAAACCCGCTTGACAGCACATCCTTCAGCTCCTCAAGCAGTGGTGCTGTCCAAACTGCTTGTCCTTTCTTGAAGTCAGCATATATCGCCTGGTCTCCATCCCAATGCATTTGTACCTGACAGTCACCAAACTCATGGCAGCCGTAGAACATTGTCCCTTCATGAAGAGCTGGAACAGGAAAACATGAAAGTATCCAGATGAAACCTTTGCTTTGGTGACAGTTGGATTTAATGACATGGTAAACAATTCTCCTACAGCACAGTGCTATGGGTAATGAAAAATATAGTTATGGTTATACAGGTGTAACGGTAGCTATGACTATGACAGTAACTGGCTGGTTTCTCTTTGCAGCACTAAAGATATTCGATCCAGTTCAATTTTATTTAGGGCACATTCAGCCCAGGAAAGTCCGCTGGTTCACTTGCTTTGGTCCAGATTCGTCTCATATGAGTTATCAGTTATCACTGTAATTAAAGATCTGTATTGATTACAGCTGGGTCTCTGTACAGTTGTTTAGTCTGCACCCAAGTGCATTACTGTATTCACACCTCCCCAAAAGATCGGCCCCAAGGAGAGAAACAAGTTTGATTCAACTGAATCAAAGAAGACAGGTGTGAATACACTCTTACATGGCGCCAAACAGACAGTTATTAAGTTGATGTTGGTGAGTGGGAAACTACTGGCTGTGTGTGGGACGTGAAATCAGGTGGAGGCTATTGTTATAGATGAACAAATAAATATTACAAAGGGTACAGTCTGGACCTTACATGAAAAGTGCATGTGATAACTTCTGTTATAACAACAACAATAATATAGTAATACATTTTATTTCTATATCGCTTTTCAGGACACCCAAAGACACTTTACAATAAAACCAGTAATTTTGTACATTTCAAAATAGATAAAATACATAAATAGAAGATACATGTATGTTGTAAAAACCACAAAATACATAAAAGCATATATATACATACATAAAATAAGTGAAACATCAGCTGAAGATATGATTGTAAAACAAGTTAACTGAGGTTAGTCACTAGTCTAGTTGTAGCAGTAAAAGCAAGATAGTGGATGGCATCTTATGTGACAAATGAAGTGCATCTGACTTTTAGTTTCACTTTTACAGAATCTTTCTTTTGAAGTTTTTAGATACTGGACTCGATACTTTGGCAATGGAGTGTTTACAATAGAAAGTGCTATCGCTGCCCCTGGTAATGATAAGAAAACACATCTGGAGATACTTCCTCTTTTTAATATTTCCCAGAAGAAGGCTAATATAATAAAAGCTGGAAGTAAACGTAACTCATAAAGTCATTTTGAATTGGAAAATAGTAAAGCTAAATCAAGTTCAAGTACCTGGCAATAAACCTCACTCTGATTCTTACGAAAAAAAGTTTGTTGTTCTTCTGCCTCACACTGAAATTTGTGATTTAAAACACTTCTTAAAAAATCAAAACTTTACCTGCATGAGCTGTGTAGAAAAACTGACCCCAAACCAGTAAAACCAGTAAAACCAGTGAGGAGTCCATGTGGTCCAGTCTGTTTCTTTGTACGAAGACACAATACAATCTGTGTCCCAACTCTAAAAAGGAAACTAAACTTACAGTGACTCACAAGTGTCAAGCTAGCAACAATTACATATGTTACACCTCGTAACTTTCAAAATAAAAGCCTTGCTGGTTATGAGAAAAACACAAAAGTACAATTAAGATTTTTAAGGTTGAAATAGAATAGACTAAGGGAATCTGAAAGAAACAAAACTGCCTCGATCCTGCAGAGTATTGATACACACACACAGTATCTTATCGGTGTGAAGCAGCAGCTGTGCAGCTCTGACCTTCATGTTCAACAGAGAGTTTCATGCTGATCCAAACCTCACTGAGCTCTGAGTCACTAACATGGTCAGGAGAACGAATGAGACTTTAAGTGCAGCAGCCTGAAATATCTCTAAACATGGTCCAAGTACCACCCGGCCCAGCCGGCACAGACACGTGACCCGGTGAACACTCAGTGTGCGCAGACCTCAGTCCTCAACGGGACAACGGTCTGTGGAACCGCACTCCTGCCCTGCAGCACCCCCTCATTGGAGGTGAGTCCCCACACCGTGATGGCGTCTCAGGTTTGGGTGCCAACAATGTTGTGTAATACAAATGCACACACAGTCAAGGGCGTATTTTTCCACCTGTTCTGCCAAATGTTGTATTGGTGTGAAAGCGCAGATTAATGATTTATTAATCTTTGGATTATAAATAAGAGAGAGAGACATCCGAGACATCAGAGCGTTCAGACACACCGACATCTGGATTTGCATCGGCAGAAATCTGACAATGAAGGTAAGTTTTTAACTTTAACTGTCTTTCTGAATGTTTATCAGCAGTTTGAACATGTTAACAGATTCAGTGAGATTATTTGAACTATTGTGTGCTGACATGTTTCTTCCTATTAAAGCTTAACACTATTTAGAGCTTCACTAGGCTGATTCAGCCTCTCTGGCTACCTGCGTACAATATCTCACAAAGTGAGTCCACCCCTCACGTTTCTGTAAATATCTGATTCTATCTTTTCATGTTTCAACACTGAAGAAATGACACTTTGCTCCAATGTAAAGTAGTGAGAGTACAGCTTGTATAACAGTGTAAAGTAGTGAGCGTACAGCTTGTATAACAGTGTAAAGTAGTGAGCGTACAGCTTGTATAACAGTGTAAAGTAGTGAGCGTACAGCATGTATAACAGTGTAAAGTAGTGAGCGTACAGCATGTATAACAGTGTAAAGTAGTAAGCGTACAGCTTGTATAACAGTGTAAAGTAGTGAGTAAACAGCTTGTATAACAGTGTAAAGTAGTGAGTGTACAACAGTGTAAAGTAGTGAGCGTACAGCATGTATCAGTGTAAAGTAGTGAGCGTACAGCTTGTATAACAGTGTAAAGTAGTGAGTAAACAGCTTGTATAACAGTGTAAAGTAGTGAGCGTACAGCTTGTATAACAGTGTAAAGTAGTGAGTAAACAGCTTGTAAAGTAGTGAGTGTACAGCTTGTACAACATTGTAAAATAGTGAGCGTACAGCTTGTATAACAGTGTAAAGTACTGAGTAAACAGCTTGTAAAGTAGTGAGTGTACAGCTTGTATAACAGTGTAAAGTAGTGAGTAAACAGCTTGTAAAGTAGTGAGCGTACAGCTTGTATAACAGTGTAAAATAGTGAGTAAACAGCTTGTAAAATAGTGAGCGTACAGCTTGTATAACAGTGTAAAATAGTGAGCGTACAGCTTGTATAACAGTGTAAAGTAATGAGTAAATAGCTTGTAAAGTAGTGAGCGTACAGCTTGTATAACAGTGTAAAATAGTGAGCGTACAGCTTGTATAACAGTGTAAAGTAGTGAGTAAACAGCTTGTAAAGTAGTGAGCGTACAGCTTGTTTAACAGTGTAAAATAGTGAGCGTACAGCTTGTATAACAGTGTAAAGTAGTGAGCGTGCAGCTTGTATAACAGTGTAAAGTAGTGAACGTACAGCCTGTATAACAGTGTAAAGTAGTGAGCGTACAGCTTGTATAACAGTGTAAAGTAGTAAGCGTACAGCCTGTATAACAGTGTAAAGTAGTGAGCGTACAGCTTGTATAACTGTGTAAAATAGTGAGTGTACAGCTTGTATAACAGTGTAAAGTAGTGAGCGTACAGCTTGTACAACATTGTAAAATAGTGAGTGTACAGCTTGTACAACATTGTAAAATAGTGAGCGTACAGCTTGTATAACAGTGTAAAGTGGTGAGTAAACAGCTTGTAAAGTAGTGAGTGTACAGCTTGTATAACAGTGTAAAGTAGTGAGTAAACAGCTTGTAAAGTAGTGAGCGTACAGCTTGTAAAGTAGTGAGCGTACAGCTTGTATAACAGTGTAAAATAGTGAGTGTACAGCTTGTATAATAGTGTAAAGTAGTGAGCGTACAGCTTGTATAACAGTGTAAAGTAGTGAGCATACAGCTTGTATAACAGTGTAAAGTAGTGAGCATACAGCTTGTACAACAGTGTAAAGTAGTGAGCGTACAGCATGTATAACAGTGTAAAGTAGTGAGTGTACAACAGTGTAAAGTAGTGAGCGTACAGCATGTATAACAGTGTAAAGTAGTGAGCGTACAGCTTGTATAACAGTGTAAAGTAGTGAGTAAACAGCTTGTAAAGTAGTGAGTGTACAGCTTGTACAACATTGTAAAATAGTGAGCGTACAGCTTGTACAACATTGTAAAATAGTGAGCGTACAGTTTGTATAACAGTGTAAAGTAGTGAGTGTACAGCTTGTATAACAGTGTAAAGTAGTGAGTGTACAGCTTGCATAACAGTGTAAAGTAGTGAGTAAACAGCTTGTAAATTAGTAAGCATACAGCTTGTATAACAGTGTAAAGTAGTGAGTGTACAGCTTGTATAACAGTGTAAAGTAGTGAGTAAACAGCTTGTAAAGTAGTGAGCGTACAGCTTGTATAACAGTGTAAAATAGTGAGTGTACAGCTTGTATAACAGTGTAAAGTGGTGAGTAAACAGCTTGTATAACAGTGTAAAGTAGTGAGCGTACAGCATGTATAACAGTGTAAAATAGTGAGTGTACAGCTTGTATAACAGTGTAAAGTGGTGAGTAAACAGCTTGTATAACAGTGTAAAGTAGTGAGCGTACAGCATGTATAACAGTGTAAAGTAGTGAGCGTGCAGCTTGTATAACAGTGTAAAGTAGTGAGCGTACAGCTTGTATAACAGTGTAAAATAGTGAGTGTACAGCTTGTATAACAGTGTAAAGTAGTGAGTAAACAGCTTGTAAAATAGTGAGCGTACAGCTTGTTTTTCAGTGTAAAGTAGTGAGTAAACAGCTTGTAAAGTAGTGAGCGTACAGCTTGTATAACAGTGTAAAGTAGTGAGTGTACAGCATGTATAACAGTGTAAATCTGCTGTCACCTCAAAATAACACATCACACAGCCGTTAATGTCTAAACCGCTGGCAACAAAAGTGAGGACACCCCTAAGTGAAAATGTCCACATTGGGCCCAAAGTGTCAATATATTGTGGGGCCACCATTATTCTCCAGCGCTGCCTTAACAGGTTGCCACTGGAGTCCTCTTCCACTCCTCCATGACAACATCATGGAGCTGGTGGATGTTAGAGACCTTGCTCTCTTCCACCTTCCGTTTGTGTTTTGCCTGTTCTGGGTGGAACCTGTCCTGGTGAACCGCTGTATGGTCATGGCCACCGTGCTGCAGCTCAATTTCTTAGCTTGGGCCATCTTTATGTAGAGCAACCATTCTTTGTTTCAGATCCTCAGACAGTTCTTTGCCATGAGATGCCATGTTGAACTTCTAGTGACCAGTATGAGGGAGTGTGAGAGCGACAACACCAAATTTAACACACCTGCTCTCCATTCACACCTGAGACCTTGTAACACTAATGAGTCACATGACACCGGGGAGGGAAAATGGCTAATTGGACCCAATTAGGACATTTTCACTTAGGGGTGTCCTCTCTTTTGTTGCCAGTGGTTTAGACATTAATGGCTGTGTGATGTGTTATTTTGAGGGGACAGCAGATTTACACTGTTATACAAGCTGTACACTCACTACTTTACATTGGAGCAAAGTGTGTTTCACATGAAAAGATAGAATCAGATATTTACAGAAATGAGAGGGGCGGACTCACTTCTGTGAGATACTGTATGTCTTAATAAAATGTGAGTTTATTTTATCTCCTCCCTGACAATAAAACTTTTTTTCACATTGAAAGGTAAAACCTTCAGCACCGACTGGCTGCAGAGGCCAAACTCTGTTCAAAAACTAAATAACCTGTCTGCTCCAGCTGGTATCAGTCGTCTTCCTCCTCCTGGCTCCTCTGTCGACCAGCTCCATGCCCCTCGTCCTCCCATTGGACTGCAGTGACATCTATAACAATGACAACAGCCGACCCAGTGGAGTGTACACCATCTATCCCATCGGAGCCACCTCTGCTGTCCAGGTACACTTCATCCTCTCAGGGACACTTAGGAGATAAAAGTGTTTGACTTTCAGTGAAGTTAGTTACATGCAGTAATGGGATTCACTAACAAGGTACATGCTAAGTTAGATTTTATAGTGGTTATGTAATGAATAGTTATAAAAGGAGGGTTGAGAGGGGAGGGATGAAGGATCTTCTTTAGGGTTTGGTGGCCGGAGCAGCTAGGAACCCAGGGGGTCGAGATTCAGTGTGGGGGCTCATCTCGATAAGCGGCTTGTTTATGAACCCCCTGTGGTTCCTGTTGTAAAAAAAGACAAAGTGATTACTTGTCAGAATTATGGATTTTAGCGTGCATGTCTTTCATGGTGGGAGGAACCGGAGCACCCGGGGGAAACCCATGCAAACACGGGGAGAACATGCAAACTCTGTACAGAAAGACCTGGGCTGAGGGAGGTCTAACCTAGAACCTTCTTGCTGTGTCCACTGGGCCACCGTGCTGCTGATAAAAAGAGATGAAGAACAGACTTTGGGTGGGACAGATGTGAGAACTGAAAAACGGGAGAGAACAGGAGTTAGACACGTTTATATACATGAGTGCATGTGATTGTATTAAAGAGGCACAGGTGGATGAATTAGTGAGAGAGGTGTGGTCCTGTTCCTGAATCTCAGTTTACATAACTCCATTAAGTCACCACCAGCAGCAGCAGCAGTAGTACTAGTAGTAGTACAGGTTGTATCACATATGGATATATTTAATATTCCCTGGTTGATAAACTGACTAATGACTGTTTGTGTCTGTGTGTAGGTGTACTGTGACATGGACTCACTAGGAGGACGATGGACGGTGAGTATTTTAACTCAAGTACCAAATCTGGCTCAGCAGTTCTCAAATCCAGGACCTGTTCAGACTGATCAGAGGCCTCCCATGAACTCTACCAAGCTAGCTCTGCTGTTACACAATCAATGATCAGTGCACAACTTCCTTCAGTCGGTACGCCTTGTTAACCAAAGATATTGATGGAATGTAGGGGAATACATTTGATGCAGCAACCAGTTGAGACCAGGAACGAGACAGGAGAACTGACCTGATGCACAAAGTGGTTTGTACTAAAGCCAGCTGTTTAAGACAGAGACTGCTCAGTCTCACTCTGACTCTAAAGTGCCAGAGGTCCAGACATTATCAGTGTGTCTGTTGTTCCTGACCCGGATAGACGAATCCAGCAGCTGGTTTATGTGATGTACTTTCTGAATGAAGGCTTACCATTAGTTCAAACCTTGTTGCCTGGAAACATGAGCTGTCAGGTATCTGGTGTGTTTAGCTAGTTCTCCCTCCATCCCGTCCCCCCCAGGTGTTCCAGAGGAGGATGGACGGCACCGTGAACTTCTACAGGGGCTGGGATCAGTACAAGCTGGGCTTTGGTAGCGCTGCTGGAGAGTACTGGCTCGGTGAGAAACCAAACCTAACTAACACTATTGCAGGTGTAAGGATCTAGTCAGCTCATGGTTTAGTACTAAGTTCTTCCTGATTTCTTACAGTGGAGACACTTTGCTGCTTGCTTTCCCCTCTGCTTTAATACTTTTGCTGAAACTCTCTTTTTTTCCTACTAGAAATTATGAGCAGCGGCTCTTGGATACTTTTAAATCACTATGACTGTCAGATAAAGTAGGCTATTGCCATACTTTAAATACTTTTGATTTCAGTGCTACGCGAGTGCAGCCTATCAATAGCACTAGCATGTACTGCAGTGATTGGCTTTGTAGCTAATGCTAATTAGCAACAAGATGCCCCCCTTCTCCACGGATGACTTCCACAAACTTCTACAGAAAGTTGCAGTGCTGGAAACCAAGATCCACAGGTTAGAGGTGAATGTGGAAGTGAATGGAATATGTGGGAATGACACCACTTTACCATGGATCCAAAACAGTGGACAAGACCATGCTAACACAGGTCTAATTAGCACCAAAAAGACCAAGAAGCAGGAGGCCTGTGTACTGGATAATAAATCTGAAAGTGGTAGTCCTCCCTGGAACGCTCTTGGAGCAAAGCCTAAGAATAAATAATTTCCCTGGTAAATGGTTGGACGAGTAACAGGCAGAACCCAGCGCCCTGAAATTTGTGATGCGACTAGACCTGCATTATCACCTGGGTAGAGCGCCTCTTCAAACCCTGTTCTTGGTAGGACACAGCCGGACCGCTGCGAAAGGGAGAGGATCTCCGTCTGATGACCTTGATAACATCCCATCCTCACACAGAAGGGTAAGGACTGAGAGTAAATCAGAAAGTAAAAGGCTGCAGGGAAAGCTAACAACTGGGCCTCAAACTCTGATTGTGGGTGACTCTGCTGTAAACGATATAAGAAGCATGTGCAGTAAGGACACCAAAATACTCTGCTTTCCGAAGGATACGGTGTCTGACTTGGCAGAAAGATTCCTGCATATCGTGGCTGAACATCCTACTGTGAAAAACATCATACTGCACATCGGGGCCAATGATGTTGTGAAGCAACAGTCTGAAGTGTTGAAAGTGGACATTAATAATCTGTTGAACACAGTCAGCTCTCTGAATGCTGAGGGGTTTATCAGTGGGCCTATACCGCCAAGCCGAAGAGGAGCTGAGGGATTCAGCAGACTGATGACATTGAACACGTGGCTCTCAACGGCATGTACTGTCCATTCAGTGCATTTCATCGAAAACTTTTACTTTCTGTGGGACCGCAGACATCTTTTTAAGGCAGATGGACTTAACAAGTCAGGAGTAAAATTGTTCAGCTCCAACCTGTTTTACTTTCTGCATCACTCATCTGTTCCCTCTGCCAAGGACAAGAGACAAGAGGAATCTCAACAAGAAGAAGACATAACACAACACACCAGAAACCTTGAAGGAGAGCCACCTCAGCCCCCGCCGGAAGAGAGCTCTGATCACGGGAGACACCTGAGCCAAGAGGAAGAGTCTCCACCTCCCTCACTGAAAACCAACAGTGAGGAGTCACCATCTTTACCCCCCAATCCCCACCTAGGTCACCCTTATCTCCAGACACCCTTTCTCCCCTCTCTCCCCTGTTGGACTGATCACATGGAAGACCTGGAGCTGGGACCAAATTTACTCCCCCCACCTTCCCTTGCTCCACTCCCATTTTCTCTACCCTAAACCCCCCTCACCATCCACCTCCACCACTGGTTCTAAGTCCTCCAGGTTTGACACATGTGTCAAAAATACAGCGCACAACCCACCTTCCCGCTCTGCAATGGCGAAAAAGCCCAGTAAGCTCTGTCTGATATGTGCTGGGTCCATGCTACAAGGAAAATAGCACTCATGACTCTTCCCAGGACAAGCCGGGGCCCAATGTGCTGGTAGTCTTCTCCATCCCTGTCTTGACAGGTAACAGAAAAAGCATGGTGAATGTGTTAAGAAACAGGAAGCACTCAACATATCCTGCAAATTTAGTATTAATTCCTCGTCAGCCGCAGCCTGACGAAAAAAGTGGGCCAGATAATGTTTTTAACACACTAAAATTAGCTTTGTTAAACGTTAGGTCTTTGACAGGAAAAACATTTTTAATCAATGATTTTATAATAACTCACAATCTTAATTTCATGTTTTTAACTGAAACTTGGTTGGACCAAGATAACAGTGCAGCTGTCCTTATCGAGTCTACCCCTCCCAGCTTCAGTTTCATGAGTGAAGCTAGAGTGCATAAGAGAGGAGGTGGAGTTGCCATTTTGTTTAATGACTCCCTCCAATGCAAAAAGATGTCTTATGGGAATTTAGCTTCTTTTGAATATGTGGCTCTTCAGCTGAAAACCTCTTCTCAAGCAATTTTTCTAAATATCTACAGGCCCCCTAAATACTGTGCAAACGTTTTTGATGACTTTGGTGAACTGCTGTCTATAATCTGTATTGACTTTGACTGTGTGGTTATTGTTGGTGATTTTAACATCCATGTTGACAACCCCCAGGACAGAGGGACTAAAGAACTGTGTTGTGTTCTTGATAATTATGGACTGACCCAACATGTGACGAGGCCCACGCACAATAAGGGGCACACTTTGGACTTCATCAAGGTTATCATCTCCAAGGGTCTGAACATTTCCAAGGTTGTGGTGACTGATGTTGCTCTCTCAGATCATTCCTGTGTTTTCTTTGAGAGTGCTATCTGCGTGCACACAAATGTACAAACAGAGGTGATCACAAAACGGCATATCACTGAAAACACTAGTGAAAAAATTATTCAGGCTTTCTCCTCGACACCCGCCCTCTCATGGGTCTCAGTCAGCGAACTTGTAGATAATTTCAGTTCTAAAATTACAAATGTTATTGATGCCATTGCACCAGCCAAGGTGAAGGTGGTCTCTGGTAAGAGAAGATCTCCATGGAGAAATGCCACGCTGGGTAGAACTCAAAAAAGAGGTGGCGGAAAACAAATCTCCAGGTTCATTATGACGTCTATAAAGAGAGACTTTGCATTTATAATTTAGAGCTGAGAAATGCAAGGTGGTCCTTCTTCTCTGACATCATCACCAAAAACACTAATAATGTGTGTGCATTGTTTGCTACTGTCGACAGGCTTCAGAACTGCCGCTTCATAACATCATCCTATTATTTTGACTTAATCTCAGAAGTTTAGCGAAGTTTGCATTGTTGCCAAAGTATTTCACTCTCTTTGCACACACACTACACAGAGCATCATTATTACCTTCACAGCTAAAATACAGCCAGACGTGACTGTTTCTACAGCCGGCCAGAGTCAGTTTTCAATCGCGGGAAATGTAAGGAGCTGCAGCGACTCACTTCAGCACAAGCATGACTTTGACAGGTGGAAGGAGAAGTAGTTCCTATGAACCGAGTATAATTAGACCATCCTGGTGACAGTAATATACTTATAATAAAACACACCCTCACTCCAAATGACTGAGGTTAGATATCGATCCTTTTATATGAGTATCGATCCTAGAGCAGGACAAGTTGGTATCAGAAATATCGATACTTTAGGATCGATCCACACATTACTACATGTCAGTAACAGGATATGTCTTGTCCCTGTGTCCACTTAAAAACAATTCATATAGCATTTACATTTACATTTACTCATTTGGCAGATGCTTTTATCCAAAGCGACTTAAATTTGAGCAACAACATACAAGCATCAACAGAGCATGAAATACAGATCTACAGCTGACAATACATACTAGTAAGAGCAGCAATAAATACTAGTAAGAGCTCACAGTACATATCACAGCAATGAAGTAGATACCTAGGGAAGGAAGTAAGAGTTAACAAAAAAAGTGCAATCAATACAAAAAAAGTGCAATCAATACAAGATCATTGTAAGGGATAGAAGAAGAAGAGCACAGGAAGTGTTTGTTAAAGGTTAGGAGTTAGAGGTGTTATAAGAGGAAGTGTTCAAGGGCTTCTTGAAGTCAGAGAAGGACGCCCCTGCTCTGATGGCGTGTGGTAGATCGTTCCACCATCATGGTGTCACAGATGAGAAAAGCCGGGACTGGGATTGCTTTGTGTGAAGGGATGGCAGAGCCAGGCGGCATTTGGAAGAGGAGGTTAGTGGCTGAGAAGGAATGTAAGTTTGTATTATGGAGTTTAGGTAGATGGTGCAGACCCAGTAGTTACTCTGTATGCAGCATTAGTGACATGAATCTGATTCTGGAGGCCACGGGGAGCCAGTGGAGGTCACTGAGTAATGGAGTGACATGAGTCCTTTTGGGCTGATCAAAAACCAGACACGCTGCTGCGTTCTGAACCATTTGTAGGGGTTTCACTGCACAAGCTGCTAGGAGGGCATTGCAATAGTCGAGGCGAGAGATAACCATGGCCTGTACCACAAGCTGGGTGGCGTACTGCGTGAGGTAGGGCCTGATTTTCCTTATGTTGTATCGAGCAAAGTGGCACGACCGAGAGACAGCAGCAACATGGGGCACCCCTGTGGAGAGGTAGTGGGAGGAGGATAATTGTCCTTGCCACAAAACATTGTAGGAACGCCCCGACAGGTAGGATTCAAACCACAGAGGGCTTTACTCGAGATGCCCATTGCTGAGAGAGCGGATAGCAGGATCCTGTGGTTGACTGTGTCAAAGGCAGCTGATAGGTCAAGCAGGATAAGAACCGAGGATTGGGCTGCAGCTTTAGCTGACCTTAGGGCTTCTGTTACAGACAGAAGAGCCGTTACAGTAGAGTGGGCACTCTTAAAACCAGACTGATATGGATCTAGGAGGTCATTCCGTGGGACGAATTCTGAGACCTGTTTGAATACTGCCCGTTCAATAGTATTGGATAAAAATAGTAGAAGAGACTCTGGCCAATAGTTCTTAACTTGAGTTGGGCTTTTTGAGCAAGGGTGTAACTCGAGCCCTTTTGAAAGTGGTCGGGAAGGTTCCTGAAGCCAGAGAAGTATTTATCACATGAGTGATTGTCGGGACCACGGTAGGAGATATGG